TAATCTATACAGATATGTAGGTCTCCCTCCTTCTTAGGTACGAAGAGAATCAGTGCGCCATACGGTGACGAACTTGACTTGATCTACCCCTTCTATATGAGTTTGTCTAACTGCTTGCGCAGCTCGTCGAGTTCCATGGAAGATATTCGATAAATGTGCCCCTTTGGAGTCTTACTTCCGGGCTCAATCTCAGTGTGGTGCTTGATATCTCTATCAACTACATCGACAGGGGCCTCTCCCACATCAGAAAACTCATCCAACAACTTCTTAACTTTGGGTGGCAACACCTCCTTTTCTATTTGCCTTCACTCACTGGTCTAACGTTTGCAATGAATACTTGATCAACTAGCTCATTATTTACCACATGTTTGGCGAACGCAGGGGCACTCATACAACAAAGGGACAAACTATTCTCTACGACAGACATATGATGTGACCGAAAGTATGCCTTTTTCCCTTCAACATACTCACTAACGATCATCTCACGGTTGTCGGCCAACTTACTAACTACCGGATCATCCAACTTCTTAACCTTCATGCTAAGGTGCATCTTCTGCAACCCTCTTCGGCCAATGTAATTGCGCGTGGAGCCACTATCTATCAGCGCGCCTATTCTTTCTCTATTAACTTCTACATCTCCTATTATTAGCTGCCCCTTCGGCCTTTTCTTCATTTCGGCCCAAGCTTGGCAACGAGTGATCAGCTCATCATCGATGCTTGCTAGGGAGCCACCTAGAGAGGTTCTAGCACAAGCAACCTCTGGACAACTAGCTAGGTGGGGGGCTACATCAGTCTCTGCCAATGGGACCTTCAGACAGGAGGCGCACTTCTATCTGCGTGTCTTTGTGTGAAGTCCTCATAGAGGCAACTGCAGGCTCTACTGGCTTTTCCCTTTTGGGTACCTATACTCATGGCAAAAGAGAACTATGTGGTTGGGGTCACCACATTTGAAGCACTCGTTGGCTTCAAGCCGATCCTGCCACACCTTTTAATCTATACCCATGGCCTACCAAGGCTCGCCTTCAACAATCCCTGGGTTTGCACGATATGGACACCAACTTCTACCTTTTCCTCTACCCTCATTGAAGGGAGAACCTCTACCACCTTGCGAGGGACCATTACCCCTACCTCCTGCGTAGTAGCAACCATCGCCACCACCCCTCTTCGCAGCGGGTCCTTTACCTCCAAATCTCCCACGGCCTCCTCTACCGCGGCCTCTACCTTGGTGGTGTGCAGGATATGGACGCCAATTTCTACCTCTTCCTTTACCCCCATTGAAGGGAGAACCTCTACCGCATTGTAGCTACCATCGCCACCACCCCTCAGGCAGCGGGTCTTCGACCTCCAAATCTGCCACAGCCTCCTCTACCGCGGCCTCTATCTTCGCGCCCTCCCCCACAGGCTACAACTCCCGGGTAGTCCCCTCCCCGGGCCATGTGGTTGTTGTCAAACTATTCTAGGCCATAGTCTATCTGGTCGTAGGGGAGTCTCTGCTCCCCCTTTTTCAAATGTGACCAAGAGATTGTCTTTGCCTTCTATTTTTCTGCTAATGGTCGTATCCTTCCACCGTTTGCCTCTCCTCGGGTCTTTCCAGTAGTGGCAATAGTTTGCCTCGTTCAGGAAACCTGCATGGTCGACTGCTATCTAACTAATCCACTCCTTTGTCCGGGGATATATCTAACTTAGGATCTGCACAGGGGTCAGTCCATGATCGGGACATTGGAGGAGTTCCCCATTTGAGTGCTGACACACTTTTCCACTTGTGGTCACTAATATTAAGGATCAGGTATTCAGTCTTCCAGGCCAGATTCTTATCCTCGAATCTATCTTTCAAGGCCCACATAAAGTCCTCTATTCTCGTCTGTTGAGAATACTGCACCATGGAGGTGCAGACTGTCTCCTTAACTAATGATATGGCAAAGTTTGCCGCATCTCCTCCTAGACGTGAACTGGCCATCAGGACTCGGACCTGATACGGGATTAACTGCGCATACAAATACGTGTCCACAGCTTCCTCCCACTGGAATATATTTTCTTCCCTTTTCCTAGTGAAAGTCCAAGGGACTTTCACCTTCTCTCTCGTCCCTCAAAATTTTTCTCCTCTTTTGTTTCCCCCATCCTTCCTGGGACCCTTACCTTTTTTGAAGTTTTTTTCAATCATTGCCATCATCTCCCCCATCTCCACCTCCATCACTGCTGCTCATGTTCACTGCAGCGGTGGTGTTAGTCATCTTTTGTGTGAAGACGTCATCTAATTGATGGGCATAATCTGGTACTCTCTTATCTATTCTATGGGATGAAATGCTAAGGAAGTTGTTCCAGGTACTCAGGAACTCTTCTTGATGTCGCTCAATCTTACCTACCGACTTTTGAAGTGCATTGAGCTCAAGGGTAGTGTGCAGTAATGTGTCTGATAGGAGAGTAAGAGTTTCCTTCACCTCCACTTCTTTGCCCTTCTTCTCTCTCAACATCTTCTTGAGCCTCTCTCCTTCCTGCCTCAACCTCCTCTTCTCGTCGTATTCTTTTCTTTTCTGGGCTAGCAGTCGTGTGTTGAGTTTGCTCCTCTAGCAGATTCTTCTCCTCGTCATCTGCACATGCTGTCAATTTAATTAGAAAGGCATCTCTCTCTTCCTCTGATTCCACTGGTAACTCTATGTGGAATCCAAACTTCTCCACCCAATCTTCCTCTTCCACTTGCCCCGGGCCACTCTGGTAGCCTCGGGATACACCTCCTTGCAGTAAAAAAGGTATGTTTTATTATGTCCTTATCACATCACGACTGGTAGCAATCATGGCCGCCCAGCATTTCGTGTGAACACACATTCGCCCTTCATCCCCCATCCCTTTCCTAGGCCACCTCCTCCTCCTCTCCCTTCTGCTCCGGCCCCTTGTCGTTCTCTTGCCCCTCCTCCCCCTCCTCCCCCACCTTCTCCATGACATGCTCCTTCTCTTGCCCCTCTGCCTCCCCCGTAGGTCTAAGTTTCAGTTTCGCTGAGAAGTGGATGGACACTTGGCAACACCTTGGGATCCAGTTGGAAAAAAAAAAAAAGCTCTGGCAGTCACCACCAACCGCTGAGGAAGAGAGAGACACACAGAAAGGTCCACGAGCTGTAAAATGCCGACAACAGATCTGACATCCTTATATATCAAATTTCAACAACATATGGGTGAAACGGTTTCACCCAGTAGACCCGACATTTGCAGACACAGAGAATCGATCCCTAGACCTGTGCCCAAACCCTGTACATTGACCCTGTGTGCTGAGTGAGATTCGATCCCTAGACCTGTGCCCAAACCCTGTACATTGACCCTGTGTGCTGAGTGAGATTCGATCCCTAGACCTACCCTGTACCTTGCACATTGACCCTGTGTGCTGAGTGAGATTCGATCCCTAGACCCACCCTGTACCCTGTACATAGGCCCAGCGATCTGTGTGAGACACGATCCCTAGGTCTGTAGATTAGGAGTTAGGTCTGTTACCGTTAGGCTTAGGAAGGTCTGTTCTAGAAGTCTCTATCGGAGTCTACTGAGGCCTAGAGTCTGTCTGTAAGTCTGTAGGCTCTAGAAGGTCGTAGGTCCCTGTAGGCCAGTCCAGTCAGCAAGTCCCAGGGGTAGGGGCTGCACGTGGGGAAGGTTCTGGACCACGCTGTGGGTTCCACACGTTTTGGCCAGAAGGCCAAACGTCTGGAAGCTTCCCTGGGCCACACGTTTTGGCCCAGGCCCACACGTTTTGAGGCAGGCCCGGGTACCTCCGAAGAAGTATAAATAAAGAGGCTGCGTCCAGCCAGCCATTCATTCGCCTGTGAGCCATCCGGAAGTGCTGCCTTGGTATCTTGTGCGTGGAGGTCTGCAGGTGCCCGGAGAGGAAGTGGGCAGTGAGGAAGACGGCGGCCATAGCTGGCCAGTGAGGTAGACGACGGCGGCTATAGCTGGCCAGTGAGGTATACGACAGCGGCCGTAGCCGCCCAGCTGTTGGTGCAGACAGGGTGAACAGAGTGTGTGTGTGTCTGTGCAACGTGGACATTCAGGGTGATCCTCGTACATGCGTGCATGTGAGAGTGAGGGAGAATGAGGCTGGTGGTAGAGACAGTGTTCGGCGGCCATAGCCGCAAGTTGTACAGTTAATTCAGACTGAGTTTAATACAAGTTCATTGTTGTTTCTGAGTTGAAAGAGTTCGGCTTTGCCATCGGTTCTCAAGTGTGCATGTTGTGAGCAAGTCCAGAGTCGAGTCTGATTGCATTGGGCAATCTGTCTGTGTTAAATTCCGACATGCATTGATTGGTTTTGTTGCAGACACTCAAAGAAACACAACAGTACACATTCTATGCACATGCTCACTTACCTGCCGTAGCAAAGAACAAACCTTAAAAAAAAAACAAGTTACATTTGGCATCTGTGCTCGTTCTTGATCTCATCCATTTCCTTCTGTCCATGTTGTCCCACAGTTGCGACTGGCCACGGGCGAAGACCCGGCGCGTCAAAAATACTTTTCCTGTGAGAGGGCGTTCTGAAGATCTGTGTCCACATCTGATTCCATCATCCCAACTCCTAAATATTTTGTGTTCATCAACAGTTAACATGTGTGCCATTCATCCATGTCGCCTGGATTGGTGCTCAGTTTGTAAAAGTGGATCATTGCTTTACTGTTCAAGGTTCAAAAGGAAACAAAGAATTAACTCCTCCATTCAAGCTTGTTCAACTGATATTGGCTCTTGCTGGCCTTAAAGCACAAGTACACGGCCCCAGCCTTGCAGTCCGAAACTTGTCCCCACAAGAAAACGAGGAGGAAACTTCAAACGCTGGGCCCGCCGTTGATAAATTCGGTTTTCGCTTCACGCCTCCAGAATTTGAGGTGTCAGACCCGTGGCCCAGGTGCCCATGTACTGGTGGTTTAACTGTTCAAGGTTCAAAGAAGCCTCACAAGATAAGTTCATTGTTTCATGTTTGTTCCCCCCTTGCTTGTCTCTGACTCATGTCTTGCTTGACTTGGCTGCTGCAGTTATGGGTTATTGCTTCATGAGTGCCGAAAGAGACGGATACGAGTTCTGATGACAGGGCACCATGCCGACGATCAGGTACATCAGTGCATGGAAGCTTTGCTTGCTCACATTCCTCTGGCATGAATGCTGCTTAGGACTGACTGACTTCTTCTCCGTTTAGGGTTGAATGCTGCTTTGGACTGACGGACTTGTTCTCTGTTTAGGGTTTAAGTACTAATATGGTCCATCGGGAAAGCATCTGGCGAAGACAGGATGGTGAATTTGTGGCGATGGTTACTGGCCTCTGTAATCCTGTGTCTGAATTCAACTGGAGGCCATGGCCATGGTTGGTTTTCTTGCAGAGACCCCTCCCACGGTCACGTGCAGAGACCAATACGGCATGACACCTGGTCATGGTGGGTCTCTTGCTGAGACCAGTTTGGCCCAAGGACTAGGCTACCAGCCGGGCTGCCCAGGCGTGCAGGGACCAAAGAAGGTCCCAGCAAAAACAAATCAAGAAAATCTGGAAATAAATAGCTCAGTTGGTTGAGCACGTAAGTGGTATTCAGGAGGTGGTGCGTTCGATTCCCCACGCCGTCCATTCGATCCCCCATGGCCCCTGTGATGCGCTTTGGGTTCACCAGCGGAGATATTTGGCTTGGGCCTCCTGGCTGGTTGCGGAAGTTGGTTAGGCTTTCCAGCTCATGCCAGGTGTTAGGAGCCGGGGTACTGCTCCCCGCATAGAGCAGAATTGGCAAGGAAGGCTGGAAACTCAACCCATAACCTTGAGCATCCCCTGGACAAACTGGACATATATGTAGGTAGGTAGGTAGGGTGAGGTATATGAGTGAAGAATATAGATCAGTTTTAAAATTATGTTATGCAGAAAAATAAACTGAACAACTTTTGCCTCAGGGTCACATCAAAATTCCTTACCAAATCTTTCAAAAAAAAAGTGAAAAGATTTTTATTTTTTTTATTTTTTTTTTGGCCCGGCCGTGCAAGTGGTCGTGGGCCACTCTGGTAGACTAGCCAAGGGCACAGCCACAGTTTGCCTCTTGCGGAGACCCATTTGGTCTGAGGCCCCAGCCAGGGCTGGTTTCTTGCAGAGACCATTTTGACCGGAGGTCCCGACCACTGCAATGAACCTCTCAGTTCGTCACCTTGAGCACACACACACACACATTATGAGATCACACGAAATCCACACTGGAGGCCAGAGAGTTGAAGATCAGGTAAGCGCAGCTTAAAAATTCCAACAATTATCATATGAGCAATTAAGAGTTCCAGTCACAAGCGCTCAAAAGTGCAATGCCAAATAACCAGTATCCAGTATCATCATCCAAGTACGTGACTCTCTCACTGCTCCTCCCTCTTCTCTCTTTCTTGGTCTTCTCTCTGTCTACTACCTCACTGTGTCTTCTCTCTCTACTTGCATGCACTCACACTCTCTTCTACTTGAGAACCGTCTCTGAATACACCCACTACTATAATCTACTACTGCTACTAATGCCTACTACTGACTCTAGCGCAGCTATGGCTGCCTTCTGTCTCATACACAACTGCGCAGCCCGCTGGCCTCAGTGCCCAACCACTCGCATTAGTGCACAAGCGCAACAGCACTTCAACACTTGATGCGCATGAGCAATCTGTCCAAAAATGTGGCTGGCCAGTCCTTATATTGACTTGGACTGAGCTTCAACTCGTCCCAGCCTCTGCTTCTCGTGGCTTGACTTGGTACTGGTACCACATCCCCACGGCCTGCTTGCTTCAGAATGTCAAGGCCTGGTACTTTTCCCGAATTTTCATTGGTGTGCTGCTGCTTGGGCCTGTGAGTCACGACTTTTCACCTGTGGAACATGAATTTTGACTGTGGGTTGTGACTCTTGCCTTTGGGACACGACTTTTGCCTGGGGAAGTGTCCTTTGCCTGTGGAAAATGACTTTTCAATATGACTCTTTAATATGAATCTTCAATATGAGACGTGACTTTTGCTTATAGAACGCAAGTTTTGCCTCTGGGATGCGACTGTTTACCGGGTGCCTGTTGGACTTGACTCCTAAGGTACCCGACTGTGACTTTTCTGAAAGCGACTTTTGCATTTTAGTCTCAGGACGTGACCCGTCAGCTGGTCTGCGCCAGACTTGACCTTTGGGATATTTGACTGTAACTTCCAGAACCTGGCCGACTGGGCCTCTACCCACTTGGAAACTTAGACCCTGAAATTCGAATTTGGGGTCTGAATTGTGGAAGGCCTTTCACCACGGTTGGTCTCTCGAATAGATCGAGTAGGCCCGTGGCGCCAAAGGGCGTATCTGTAATGGTTGAATGGCTCATGGGATATTTGTTCCTCCTCCCCTCTTTTTCTCCTTTCTTTCCTTTTCCTTTTTATCCCCTCGTGGCTGGGATTGGAGCCCAACGTCTGGGAGATAAACATCCATCCATCCACAGTGTCCTCCCACCACAAATTTGAATGCTGCAGAAATCCCCACAGTTGATTGTCTCGTCATCCCTGCACTTACCACCTAAGATAAGATATCTTCTGCTTTTGTTTCCTTCATTGACGACTGTAAAACACTCACTACTAGAAAGTCAGGAACTGTTTCAACCTCTCAGGTTTAGGGGATCGGCGAACATCCATCCACAAAACAGTGTCTTCCACCACACATCTTAACACTGTGGAATTCCGCACTGTTGGATGTCGGTAACCCCTTATTTCCTGCAGTCTCCACCTAAAGATAAGATATCTACTGTGGTTGTTCCCTCCTTTGACAATTATAACAAGGGGACCCGCCGCGGCTTCGCTCGCGGCAGACCAGGAGGTAGGAGGAAGAAGCGGGAGGCCGAGGTGCGAAGAAGGGAGGGGTAGATGTGAGGGATGTGTCCATACAGAACGAAGGAGAAGTGAAGGCCCAGGTTGAAGAACGAATGAATCACAGAATGGGTCTGAAAAGAACGAACCAATCAGTTGATAACAATGTAGGATAAAAACAATGCTATGAATCCATCATTTGACAACAATGTAGAATCAAAGCAATGAAGTCTTGAATAGAGCAAGTGAATGCACATGACAATTTGTATGTGTCCTTTTGTATGCGGAGCCAAGTTGATCGTAGTAGTCTCTGCGAGTCCCTGCAATTCTTGTGATGTCGCTGAAGTTGTTGGTGGTCTTCATGCTGGACGGTCGGAGGAGGTTGGATGTTGGAGGAAGGAAACAGCCCTTTGGACAATTTGTACGGAGGAATGTTATTCTTCAATGCATGCAGACAGAAGATAGTTTGTATCTACCTTGCTGTGTTTGGAGGCAAGTTTGTTGTAGTAGTCTCCGTGAGTCGCCGCAATTCTTGTATCGTTGGCGAAGCTCCTGCTAGTCTTCATGTCGGACGGCTGGAGGAGGTCGGACGTTGGAGGAAGGAAACCGCTCTTTGGACAATGTCTGCCCTGTAGATGTGGAAGGGAGGTAGTTGGCATTGTGCTTCGCGGTGATGGACGGCGATGAGATCACTTAGATATTCCCAAGTTTGGGGGGAGTGGTGAATGTTGTATATGGAGATGGTGTGGCGGGAAGCGAGTATGTCGTGGATCATTGTTGTTGCATGTGTACATCCCCATCATTCGAGTGGCTTCCACCAGTGAGGGTCTGTTTCGTGAGTTGGTAAGAGGAGGGGAGGTGGTGTGGGCTGCGCGGAAGCGATGAAGGCATATTTGTGGTAGGCATCGAGTATGCGATCGTGTTGGTACTTTGCGAGGCCTGAGTGAGATCATGTAGATCGGTAATGGTCACGCTAGAGCAGTTGTAAGAGAAATGTCTTGGAGCGGGGGAAAGGTGGATTGTCTCAAAGCAACGCCATAGTTTAGAGGATTTTATGCACGCACTGATTGTTTGCGCGCGGGTTCCTTTTGTGATGACAGGGAGAATCTGTCGGAAGTCACCTGCGATAACGATAATTTTCCCTGCAAATGGTTGGTCGGATGAACAGATATCTTGCAAAGTCCTGTCGAGCGCTTCTATGTGGTATCTGTGCATTATTGGGGCTTCGCCCCAGACGATCACAACGGCCATTCTTATGAGTTGTGCCAAGGTGCTTTGTTTGGGAATGTCAAAAGTTGATGTTTCTGTAGGCGTGCGTGGTGCTTTGAAGCGAGAGTGAAAAGTACGGTCGTCTTCCAAAAGTGTAGATGCGATGCCGCTAGATGCGACAGAAAGTGCTATCTGGTCATGGAGGCGTATATGCGCTAGTATGGTGTTGAGGCAGAATGGTTTGCCGGTTCCTGCAGGTGCATCAACAAATAGATAGAGGGGCTCGGCATTTTCCGCAGCATTAATTACACGTTGGAATACAGCATGCTGTGAGGGTGTGAGCCGTGGGAAATTTATATTAAGTGTACGTTGTAGTTCTTGTTTGTCGTATGATATTTCATCATCTATCAGCCTAGGAATTCCTTCTAGACGTGGTTTTTGTGAAATGTGAGTCGCTTCATTTCGATCTGCGGGAGTGGGTGGGTCAAGGTCGACGTCTTCAAGTTCCTTCCCTTCTTTTTGCAGGCGGGTTTTGATGTTCAGGAGCACCATGGTTTTTAGAATGCCGTCTGAGACATGTGCTCCGGCGAGGTCTCTACGGAAGTCGTCAATCATACGGTCCAGTGCGTTTCGAATAGTTCATTTGGGTCGGCTGGGGCACAGTGCAGAATGATATGGACAAAAAGATCACGCACCATCGGTGAGGATGACGTGAAAATAGCATCATCGAGAACAACGTCGAATTGTGTGTTATCGTTGAGAAGACCCAACACTTTGCATCCATTTTGGAATGTTCAATAGACCTCACCGTTAGCTGTACGAAGTTTTCGAATGATGTCGCACCGCGGGAATGAGGAGAATTGAGTAGCATACGGAGGTAGAACGTGTCACCTGCATTTGGATGGATGGTGTGGATTCGTCCAATTGTATTAGTGGAGCCTTGATATGTCTGTATTTCGTCATTATTGTCAATCGCTTCATCGACCATTGCGCGATCAGGTCCTTTGAGAATATACTCAAACATGTATCGGCAAGCTGCTGTCGATGCACAAATCTCGGTATTGAGGTGACATCG